GCCATTGTGATATTTCAGTAATAACATTAATAATTAGCTCTTCTAACTCCAAAATAGCTGTTACTGTGGCGGAGACTCGATCTCGTTGGACAAGCTTGCAATTTTTTTCTCCCTGTTGGACAAGGAGTTTCAGAGATAATTATTATTTTATTAGAAATTTAGATAAATATTACGCCACTAAAATTTGAAAATAATAGGTAAATTACGCCAAGGAAAACTTGAAATCGAAATTGATTGATAAAATAACTTAGTAGATGTATGTGATAAATAAAATATATATATATATGTATATATGAGATAAGAATAAATATTAACAAATATAAATTAATATTAACAATAATATTTTTGAAAAATATAATCCGGCATCTGCATTTTTTGGCTTTGGGGGGGGATTTGTCCCTCTGTCCTACCCCGCTGCGTACGCGCCTGGTTGGCTCCAAGAGATGGTGATGATTTGCAAAGAATATATTTAGGAAATATTTTTTTTAAAGGAAAAAGATATTCAATATATTTTTTACCTATAATTTTGGAATAAAAAAGTGAAAGAATAAAAGTGTATTCAAATGATTGAAATGGCGATAAAAGAAATAATTTTTGGTGAGAGATTGAGTAGAATATAACAGCGGGTTGGATAATTTTTTTTTAAAAAAAATAATGAATTCAAGGTTAAATATTTTCCTTGGTTTAAAAAAGGGGGGAATAGAAAAGAAAAAAGATGATGTTTTAATTTATAATGTGGAGAAATTTTTTTAAATGAGTTGACATCTAAAATATGTAGATTTTTGAAATGAAAGAAAAATAAATTTAGAAATTGATTTATGAGACTATAAGTATCTTAACATTTTGGTGTATAAAAAGAGAGTGACATATATTGACTATTCTGTTGAATATAATGAAAGAAGGGGAATTATTTATTTTTTCAATTTATGAATAAACAAATGTGTATGTTACAAGCGGTGGGAATTTTAGGGGAGAAATCTAGGGGAGAAAGTGGGAGGAATTATAGGGGATTAAAAGGGGGAACTCATCGAGGGTTATTCGAGGGGGCTCATTGTGGAGTATTCGGAGGCATTCCTTGGAGAGTATTCGGAGGGACTTATTGGGAAGTCGGGGGGACTTATTGGGGAGTATTCGTGGAGACTTATTAGGGATCGGGGAAGGGTTGGACTGAAATATGTTGGGTTGAATTTTAAAAGGAGGCATACAGAAGAAGTATTTGAAATTTGAGTAAAAGTGTTTGGAATGAATTTTAAAAGAGGGATACAAAAGTGGTGTTTAATATTTATGTAAAAGCAAAAGCGGTGTTTTTTAAAAAAATAATTGATTGTGCTAAAGGATATTATCAATTCGCAGAAAAATAAATTATGGGAAATATGGAAGCTTGATGAAGACTACAGAGACGAATCGTTAACGTTTGCCAGATAACTAATTTTCATTCAAACTTAATTAAGACTACGGAAGAATCATTAATGTTTGGATAACTAATATTCTATGAAACTCAATAAAGATTACCGAGACAAGTCGTTAACGTTGGGTACTAATATTCGTTCAAACTCGATACTAGGGAGACAAATCATTAACGTTGGGTTCAGATAACAATATTCGTGCAAACTCAATGAAGACTACAGAGGAAAATCATTAACGTTGGATCAAGATAACTAATACTCGATAATAAATAATGCATCTAATACCTAATTTGGGATTTTGAAAAGGAAACTACTCTACTATCAAAGATATTGGAAGGAAGATACATTCATATGTCGGGCCTATTTTATATTATTCAGATAAGGAATCGAATGGAATAAGTTAAAGAAAAAATATATATTCTCGAAAGTTTAAATCATATTTGAATAAAATAGTTCGGAATTATTGATAATTAGTAATAGAAATTCAAAGTTAATAAAACCGAATATATGACACGATTGAGAGAAACCATGATGAATTACTAAAAGTGTGTATATTCTTAAGTCACAACGTGGAAAAATATGGGTGCCGAATGAGCTCATTTATGGATATGTCATATTATTATTTATTTAAATTTTGTTTAATATTTATCATATCGCCTGATTTTATATAACACCTGTAGAACTCGTAATTTCTTTAAAGTATAAAAGGGACAAGATTTTATAATTATGACTTTTTGCTTTTTTTATAAATATATATTTGGACAATAACATTTGGAGTGAAAATTCATTAATTTTAGAGTTGTATTGTTAAATGTGTGAGTTATAAAATAGCATTGCATTACTGGTAGTTTTTTAGTATATAATTTTAACAATGCAGACCTCTACTAACAATAAAAAAAAATATAAATTTCCAAATAAAAACCTATAATAACTTGTTTAAACTAGTTTATATAAGTTTAGTTAGCCCCCATAAATTAAAAAAAAAGAGGATTCTGTATAAATATAAAAACATGTATATGCGGCCTGTTCACTAACAAGTCAAAGACCGCTGTGAACCATAATCCTTTGATAAAGTTCATCCAAGCCCATAGTAGATAATTTTTTTAGGACCAAACATGGTTCATATTTAATGTTAAAAAAAATGCCTCTACCGGGCCCAAACTTAAATTTTTTTGTCAAACCAAGCCCAGAGACCCATATCCAAAAATTTAATTTATTGTATTTAATGAAAATAAGCAATATTTAAGTGTATTTAGGAAATCATTTTGTTTACAATATTGGAATTTATTATTAGAAGAAAATATTTTTTATAAAGTGCCCCTAATCTTATTTTAGTATCTAATTTGATGTAAATAAGAAATTCCTTGGGTAGCTCTGTTTTATCCACATTAGATTGTCATACACTTTTAATGTAATTATATAATATAGGATCAGTTTTCAAGTTTGATTTAACAATCTAACTGTAAATATTAATTTAATGATTTTTTGATATGTAGTAGAATTGTATAAAAATAAATGCAGTACTAAAAAAGCTTAAATCAAATAATTTATAAAAAATATATAAATAAATGCATAAAAATATAATTATAAAAAATATCACAAAAATCAAAAAATATATTATCCAATATTATTTGGTTTTAAATCTTGGTAAGAATGGTGAGTATCAAAAATATGTTGAACTGCTGCAGACTTATCATCAGGAATATTATTTTTGTTTAATGTTGGGTATATTATATTATTGGTGTTTGAATGTGTATGTTTTGGTAAGGTTGACAATTTTAATGGATGGAAAAAAATGTAATATATTAACATAAAAAAAATATCAAAACAAAATGATATTAAGCAAAACAATAAAATGCCCAATTTTGTATAGATTATTAATGGTGAATAAACAAACCATAGTGACAATAGCAACATGTTTTCAATAAAAATTAAGGTATAAAAAAATGCAATTTTATATCTAGTCTTTCCTTCAACAATATTCATATAACTAAATATATAGACAACCCCAATTAATACATTATAAATAAATTCTGATAATATCTCATTTAATAAGTATGGTCTATCATTTTCTGATTTACAAAAATTAGATTTTTGCATATTTATCCATAACGTCATAGAAAGCCAATGAATAAAAATAAATATAAAAAAAGTTTGAGTAAAATTCAGTGAAAACAGTGCTAATATTAAAGTTCGTCCACCAATGGAAAATAGCTTCCATGAAAAATAAATAATTGATGCTTTTATTGTAATATTCAATTTGTACTTGTTAGAAAATCTCAAAATTCTATAATATGATGTAATACTCCAAGAAATTGATATCCAAGAACTTAATATTGCTACTACCTGTATATATAATACTTCAATATTAAATAATTTTAATGAATGACATTGATCACAGTTAAAAAATATATATATCTGCAGTATAAGTTGAGGTAAACTTTCAATATAAGTTTCAAATATTCTTAATAATGAAGAATCATGGTCATAGTAAGTTGCTAAAGATATATAATATTTTTTTTTAATTTGAGATTTTGCGATTATGCTCATAGAGGCATAATAAATTAAGTATAAATAGTTTAACATGGGTCCCGATTGAAGAATCACAACAATAATATGTATGATCCAGCTATATAATGGACTTGATTTTTTGAGATGTGAATCTTTTATAAACCAACAGATGCAGCAAACATTCATAATAAAAGATGATAAGAGAATGATAATGATTGTTAGAATTGCAGGCCATTTTTGATCATTTTGGTAGTAACTAATTGCCAACAAAATATCAGTGACTACATCAAAAATATAGGTATTAATTGATACAAACGTAAATATCAAATCAAAAAATCGATATCTTGTAAATTCTTTAACTTTAATTTCCATTTGATTAATTTTTTTTTTTAACCATAATTTTAAATTTATAAAACATATGTTATCAACAAAGAATTAAAAGCATGAATGTAAAATAAGATCCCATGCCCTAATACTAATAGGTCAAAAATAGTAGCAATTCCTAATCAACGGTAATAATTTAATTCCCCAATATTTTTAAGTTTCAAATTAGTGAATAAAAAGGTTGGTATTTTATTGCACATATATAAATCTCAGCGTCCCTAAGGTTAGCAGATCAAACAACTGCTCACCGATTACTGGATTAAAAATAAAATCTGACCCAATTTTCTTCAAAATTTACTTTATGCAACATACATATTTATATTAATATACTTCTTACTCGTAAACATTGAATCTTAAAAAAATATATACAATTTAAAGGACTATTGTCAAAACAAAGAAATCATCAGAAATAGATAGTTTTTAGTAAGGCGGCATTATACTTCTAATTAGATTTACTAAAAATATATATAATTTTTATACTCCCCAAATATATTTATTCTTGATATAAGTGATAATAGTTAGAAATATAAATTTCGTAACACTATATTAGATTCATCATAGGGACAAATCTAAGTTAGAAATGAAAAGAGATATTTAATACTTCTATATCTGATTATAATCTAATTGAGATTATTTTTCAATGTGACTAGTTATTTATACTGTCAATATTTAGTACTTATAAAGATTTTTCTAATAAAAGAAATATTAGTAACTTATCTATGCACGGTTTATATTTATGAAAACTCAAAAAATTTTTACTAAAAAGCCCAAAAAATGGGAAGTTGAAAATAAAGAAATTATATTACTAAATAATAAACTAAATTCAGTTATTAAATATTAATATTTTATTTTAATAATTTTAAATGTAGGACTTGCCATTTTTACTAAATTCTTTTAATGATTATCCAATTTCTAAAAAGACTTTCCATGGTATATTTATTATATATTTAAAACGTAACATTATCATTTTATTACTATCAGCTTTGAAGCAAAACAATTATGTAGTTCCTACAGATATTCAAAAAGAGTCAATACTTTTAGCACTAAAAGGGCATGATATATTGGGAGCAGCTAAAACAGGATCTGGAAAGACCTTAGCATTTTTGATTCCAGTTAATTTAATTATTAGATATATTTTTAAACTTAATTAGGTTTTAGAGAATTTATATCGTGCTAACTGGACATCAATGGATGGATTAGGTGCTTTAATAATTTCACCCACTCGAGAATTAGCTTATCAAACTTTTGAGATACTAAAAAGGATTGGTTGTAAGCATGAATTTTCAGCTGGCATAGTTATTGGTGGAAAGGTTATTTCCTTTTTATATTAAATAGTAAATATAATATCCAAATTTTTATATATTATATCCAGAAATGTACTGATAATAGGTAAAAATTCAATACTCATGTTATTGATCCACTTTCCATTTTAACTGATACCAATATTTAAAAAGGATAATTAACCTCCATAAATTAAATAAAATATTTAATAAATATATTTTGATGAATTATATCTTTACTTATTTTTTATAGTATCTGAAAGGCATCAGCCAATACCATGTTAGCATTTTTAGTATTAGTTTCTATAATGACTGCAGCTAGAGGTGGTATTAGTACATCTCTGACATTAAGTTGAAATATATAATAATAAAATAATTAACAAATCCTATAAAGTTCAATAAAAACAACTTGTCATATTTATTACATACCCAATTTAATCTATAAGTTATATTTGTTTCCAATTCAGACACATAGCCAAGAATCTTCATTGGCAGGGGGAGGGGGGCAAAATTTATACAAGGACAAGACCTGCCTTATTTAAAAAGTGAGTTTGCAGGATTTTCAATGATTAAAATGATAAAAAATGAGACAAACACAATCACATTTTATATAAATATTGATGAATTTTTTGTCAAATTATGAGTATATCAATTTTTAGTTCAATATTATGCTATTTACAAAATAAAATAATAATAAAATAAATAAAAATCTCTACATATTAATTGGAGGAATCTATTTTATTTAAAAGTTTCTCATCTTTGGAAATAAATTGGTTGCAATTAATGTTAAAATTTTGCTTTACCTGCAATTCAACTTTTAATAAATGAGAGTGAATAACAATTTTTTCCAACATTTATTCATTAAACGAAAAATTCTCTATCAGGCAGCATTTGAAAAGGGAATTGAAAATACGTTATTATAAAAAATTTGCGAGTTTATTGCTTGATTATAGTTTAAAAATTTCATTCATTTTTTTTGATAATTTAAATCTGATAAATTCTTCATGTAACAAATTCTCCTAGCATATTGATATTTATATTTTTAAATTTAAAGCTCTCTACAATTTGTTCATATACTGTTCAATGTCATATATTTAAAATATTTTTACTTTAAAACTGCAGCATCATGGGGGGGGGGGTGCAGGGGCTCAAGCCCCCGATTTTTTATACCATGGTAGCTAAAAAAGAAAGATCGTTTTGAAAATGTTGGCCAAAAACAAGGTCATTTTGATGAAAATGTTAGAAGGTTATTTTGAAAATGTTAGCTAAAAAAAGGTCATTTTAAAAATAATTTAGAAAAATTAAGTTTGAGCCCCCTGAGTTTGTAAAAGCTACTGATGCAGGTTTAAAATCATATCTTTTTTTAATATACTGGACATTTTTTTAATATAATTCTGAACTAATTTTTTTATATTCTTCTACACTGTCCATTTCCGAACACATGCTTAATGATGATTTTACAATTGTACCATAAATTCTATGATGATATTGAGCCTTTATTATGCCAATCATATCCTCCATAATTGATAATAAGTCGATTATTATTATAACTTGATTAGATTTAAGATATCAATTTATCTAAAAGGCCGCATACAGTTAAGATTAGGCCCAGATAGGCTTTTAATTCTTTGAAAAATGATTTTAAAAGTATTGGTGGATTAAAAAAAATTTTTTTTAAAGGTTCAAAATGTATGCTTTCCTACAGCAGGAACAGCAATAGCAATTTTGTAGGAACATTTTCTATGAGATTTACCCATACCATATCATATGCATTCATTATTTCTTTAAGTTCTTTTATCTTATATTTTGATCTATTGAATTTATTCTTTGTTATTGATTCAATATCAAAGTGTATTTCCTTGCTACTTGAACTTGAAGAGTGTGCATCATCTAAATGTACAATCCTAACATTTTTTAAATTCATTTCAAAAGTTATCCAAAAAGATAACTGATATTTAATAAAATGTGAATGAAATATACAACTATCTTTTTAATATTCATTTATGGGTAATTCCATGACAAATTGACCAGCGATTTGGCCGACCATCTCAAAAATGAATGAAACTTGGCATGTTAGTTATTTATGTTGTAAATGTTAATAAAATCAATTTTAGGTGCTGGCCCAACCAGATCCAAAGATATACGCCTTCAAAGTCGAAAATTGCGAAGTGCAGGATTTCATTAAATCTTGTTATTTTAAAAAATACTTAAGATAGAGTTACAAATTATATACCATTTTATAGCCCTTAAAATTTTACGTTGGAAAATATAAAAAAAAAATTAAAAAATTTCAAGTGTTTTTTTATTTCCAGTAAAATAAAAAATTAACATTGTTAAAGGGATTTTTTTTGGGTGTTAATATTCACTAAAAATGTTTATTACCTTTATATTAAATGATTTAATAAAAAATCTCGATAGCCATTTTTGTTTTTTTAATTTTATTTAAATTTTTGTTATTTTTATAAATAAAAAAATGCAATATAAATGCGTTATATTAAATTTTTTTATAATATATAATTTTTAATAAAAATATGAATAGGATTGTGATTAAAATTAAAAAATCAATTTAGTATAACCAAGAATGATGTCCTGGGGCGATATGTAAGCAGGCAGCCCATACAGATATGATTTTATTAGGACGCTATATTGTAAAATAAACATATTTTAAAATATACACAAACAAAATGGAAATAAATACCTCTTGTTTTAATCTTTTCTCATTTTGTGCTTATTAATAGAATTTCTTGAGACGATAATTTGTAGGTACATCCTTTCACTGTTATAGGATTTACCACTGTTATTATTTGATTAATGGGTAACCATATCTTTTCCGCAATTGTGGGGTAAAAGAAGGATGGTGATGGTCAATGGGGATGTAAAAAGGAAATATATCTCCTCAATAATTTCATTCTTTTTTAGTACTTTTGCTAACCACCAAAAATCGTCATAAACACATGTTATGAATTCTTTAATATCGGCAAAAGACAAATTATCGGCAATTGAGATATTATTAATTTGAAAGTCCTCTGTATATGAATATATTTTTGATTTAAGTTTACTTAAACTCAAAGGAATATAACATGTATTTCCCGAGTTCATGGAATGGGACCAGCTAAATTGAATCTTTCTCGTAGTTTAATATCTTGTGAATTGTATTGTTCGTTGGTTATATATGTAAAATTTACTGATGGCATGTTTTGTTTTGCAAATTGATATAAATCAACTGGCGTTAAAATGTGCCCAGAACTGATGCACTGAAGTCTTGAACGTGCTGCTAATCTTTTTAATGTTCCGCTAAGGCCGTCACATGGACCTTTTCCATGGGATGTAGCTGAAAAATGCCATTCAGCTGCTACACCAAAATCTGATTCATGATAACATAGATTTATTAAAAAATTTCTGTTTTTATATTGCACAGCTGATCCGTCAGAGCAGTAATATATTTTGTTTAGCTTTTTGCTGAATTGATTGGTCAAAAATTTTATCATTTTAGTCTGGTATAAATGTAATGCAATAACATTATGTTGAAGTGACTCTGATATTACCATATAAATAAGGTTTTTTATATTGCCCTTATTATTATGATGTATCGTGGCTTGATTATTATTCCAGTGGAATCTTAAACAGTGTTTTGGATTATAAATGCATAATTTTCAGAGAAATCACAAATTATCATAAATTCATTTGGTTGTAAAAAATGTTAAGTTTTGAAATATATGATTGATTGGTAGCGATGATAGGAATAAAAATAATAAAATAAGCTGATAAAATCGTTATTTTCAAATAATAACGATGTAGATCCACAACAATGAATGGATATGTCTACAAATTATGGCCTTAGGGATTCTATTAATAAGCTCAAAATTATAATAGTTTAAATATAAAATTTTAAAATATGTTTATTTTACAATATCGCGTCAATAAAATAATATCTGTATGGGCTGCCTGTTTACATATCGCTCCAGGACATCATTCTTGGTTAAACTCAAGTAATTTTTTAATTTTAAATACAATACTATTCATATTTTTATTAAAAATTATATATTATAAAATTTTTTAATATAACGCCATCTATATTGAATTTTATTATTTATAAAAATAATAAAAATTCAAATAAAATTAAAAAAACGAAAATGGTTATCGAGATTTTTTATTAAATCGTTTAATATAAAGGTAATAAACATTTTTAGTGAATATTAACACCCAAAAAATCTCTTCCTAACAATGTTAATTTTTTATTTTTACCGGAAATAAGAAAATACTTGAAATTTTTTTTTATTTTCTAACGTAAAATTTTAAGGGCTATAAAATGATATATAATTTGTAACTCTATCTAAAATATTTTTCAAAATAACAAGATTTAATGAAATCACGCACTTCGCGATTTTTGACTTTGAAAGCGTATATCTTTGGATCTGGTTGGGCTAGCACTTTAAAATTGATTTTATTAACATTTACAACATAAATAACTAACATGCCAAGTTTCATTCATTTTTGAGATGGTCGGCCGAAAATCTCGTTTTTTTGGTCGATTTGACGTGGAATCACCCTTATTTGATATTAATCCTAAATAAACTAGCATATACCTCAAGGATTTTTAAAGATTTATGACTTTTTAGCGGGACTACGCTCTCTAAAGCGGGACGTATGGCAGGACTCAGGACTAGTGTTGTTAATTGGTTGGTTGTGTAGTGCTCAGACCCGGGGTTTGGGTCTAAAATATCGACTAAACCAGCTCTGCGCACGAAACCCGGTCTGTGCACGGGGTTCAGACCCGGGGTCTATTTACATTCATTTAAAAACATAAGATATGATATAAAAATAAATAATAATATCAAAAATATAAATAAGAGGGGCGGGGAAGGAAACATGGAGCCGACTACCAAGCTGATTTTATATAAAAATATCATATATTTGTATATAAAAGAAATCAAATTCATACAGAATTATACAAATTATTATTTTATCACCAGTTTCAAAAAATTAATCGGTTAGGGGGGCTCATTATTCTTTTTTTTCTTTTTTTTTAA